TTCTGAATGCAGGTTGGCCAGGCCCACGCCCGAACGCCCAGGGATATCAAAAACAAATCGGTAATAAACAAACAAAATACAAAAGAATAACTAAGAAATGATAAAATGCTGAAGTAAAACTAAAATGATAATCCATTACTTAAATCATCAGAATAAATTTTCATTACTAAATTCTGATGATACAATTAATCCTCCAATAATACAACTTAGGAATCCATACTGTGTTGACCCCTAAAAAAGGCAAAACTGAATAAGTAACAGTTATAACTGTCAACATCTGAAAACTGAAATATAACTGAAACTCCTATGTAATATCAGAAAAATGAAGTAGACTGGTTTTTGCTCAGCATGAACCATCTCAACACCTGATGAATACCTAAAAAATAATTGTGGGTCAGGCCACGAACAAGTTCTACCCTACTACAGTCCAAGTAGAAATCCGATATACGTATACATCCTAGTCAACTCAACAATAGCTAAGTAGTCTGTATATATATAGATACACACTATAGGATGTTCACAAGGCTATAGGGCTGCCTCAACCTGGATAATAGGCAGCATGTAAAATGTAGATGAAGTGGGCATTAGTATCTAGACCTACTTGGGCACATAAATGTCTACTATAACCAGTTATCAGTCCTAGGCAATATACGTACCCTAACCATGATCCTGAGACTCAAGCTCATATCACGCCATACAACTATATATATATATAATCCGTCCTATCCAAACATAAAAGTAAACCATGGTATGTTATCCAACTGTTCGTCGACCTAACATGAATAGGTAGGACTTAACATTTTAGTTAATCCGTCCTTAGTAAATATGAATAGGTAGGACTTAGCGTTTTTAGTTAATCCGTCCCAAATATGTCACCATCCCATACTGGCGCATATAATGGATACAATCTATAAATAATGCAAAAGATATAATGTCACATTGCATTAAATAAATCCAGTAATAAGCATGATAGAAATCAGATATATACATGACCATATTATGCAGCTAATACATAATTAAAATCATACAACCTCCATTTAAATTGCTAGAATAGTTTTAAGCAATTAAATTCCCCATTATCAATATGCAAATTTAATTAGAATTTCATAATGATTTAAATCCTTAGCATAATAAAATCAGAAACAATACATGATGATATTATATTGCTAACATATGATAAAAATCATATATCATCCATTTAAATTGCTAGAAAAATCTTAAGCAATTAAATCACCCACTAACAATATGCCAATTTAATTACAATTCCATATTGTTCAAGTTATTAGCATACTAGGGTTTATTATGCATTCTAGTATTTTTTTTTTTTTTTTATGTTTATAACAATCATATAAATCATGCTTTGTGAACTAATCAACCCTAAAACTGCAAAATCCAATTTCCAGAACCCAAAAACACGTCTTAGTCAAACTTTCAGCAATAGAGCCGCCTCCTTTTAAGAGGGAGCCGCCTCCATCCAACATGGAGCCACCTCCATTCCTGCTACTCTCCATCTTCTTCGTCTCCAGCAACCTTCGAATCTTCTGTTCTCCTCCATTAAGGGTCCTAAAGGTCTGAACTAAGTCCCAATTAACCATAAATAATTATATGAAGGTAATATGCATCTTAAACACGAATCAAAATAATGTTTCATACAACAAATATCAAGATCAAATAAGAACATGTATTAACATATAAAATCTATTTTAATTCAATTTAAGCATGCATCATAGATCGATTTAATATTTGATTGCTCCTGGAATTAACCTAGGCATGCATAGAACACGAATCTAAGGGAGAGAGTATGAGAAGAACTTGCCTGTAAGGGTTTTGGATTGAAACATTAAACCACCTTCTTCTTCCTTGATTTTGACGACCTTGGTTACCGTCGGACTCTCTGCTGCTCTGTCCCTATCCCCGAGCAAGCCTCCCTTCCTTCCTTCTTGGTCCGACCTTAACCTTTGCCAAAACCCCTCTTCTTCTCTCTTGGTTTTTTGCATCTCTATCTCTCTACTTCCACAGTAAGGTTTTCTGAAAACCCTTTGGTAGACTATCAATATATATATATATATATACTACTTATAACAATATATATATACTGCTTATATATATATATATATAAGCTTAGTCTGAAAACTAACGTGATATATAAATCTATGTATATAATATATATTTAATTTATAATTATATATATAATTTTGATTATGCATAAATATTATCATTATTTATAATATATAATAATAATAATTATTATAAAATCCTTATGTACATATACACCCATATATATATGTACAACTATCCATGGGTAATATCCGTACCTACTACACCTCCTATCCAAGTTGTCCATGCGATCCAATTGATTGGTCCATTACTACTATCCACATCCATCCTTTTAAACTAAAAATAAAATAAAATAAGCATTTAATTTACCAAATAATATTATAATTAATTCACATCATTTGCGCACACAATATAATTAAACAAATAATACAAATAACACATAGACAAATAGCCAATAAATCAAGTAACACTTAAATCAATTAAACAATTAAAAATACAATGAAAACAATTAAATAAATACCGAAACTATCCTTTTAAAATTAGGGGTATTACAACTGGCTTGCATCTTTTCAATTTCGGTAGGGTCTTGGATAGACTTGCCCTGCTTTCTTCGACCGGCCATTGAACAATCTGTGTAGATGTCCCGCCGGGCGTGTTAATATGTTCAGCTCGTGAAAATCGTGGTCCTTTCCAAGTGTGGAAAGGATTGTCGTGAGTTGCGGGCGTGTCAGGAATTACTGTCATTCGAAAGTGGAGGTCCAAACAATATTCCAGTTGGAGATTGCAGAGATTGGGCGATTGTACGAATGACTAGAATAACCACCTTCGAAGGTTCTTTTTTCCTCGAAAAAAGACTTTTGGACTGTTCTATGACTAGTGGAAAGTAAGACGGTATTGAAAGTGTAAGGTTGGAAATTAAAGGACGTAATTAAAGTTCAACTGCTGGAATGTAGGAAAGGAAGTGCAAGACTTGTAATTGAAGATATGGAAAACTACTTAAGTGAAAGTAGTGAAAGGAAGTACTGGACTAAACTCAAATATTATGAGAATTCATTGCTGAAATGAATGCTATATAGAATAGCGAAGTATCAGACTCAGCTTAAAATAATGTTAATTCGTGAAATAACAAAGTGCTAAGTTTAGATATAATGTAAATTCATTGCTGAAATGAAAGATACATGAATAACAAAGAAGTTGTATTGATGTGTGATGTGCGCTGAGCAAGCCTTGTATGTTACGCCTTGGTGCTCTATTTATAGAATTTTCTTATATGCAACAATTGATATGTGGCAACTTCAGCAACTTCCACTTGGCTTGGCTTGAAGCTGCCAAGTGTCCTATATCTTCATTAGTTCCCTTTTATTCTGCCACCATCTTCTTCCTCCTTTCTCTATTTAAGACACACGAGTCCATTTACTTAGCCCTGTTATCCATCATATTCGGTAACTTTCCTTCAGTTAGTAGTAGTAATTGCATGAAGTACCACCACTTTCAACTGACGTGCTCTTGTTTGGCCAAGTGTCCCACGCTTGTAGTAGTCTTTTCCTTCTGTAGAATCCTTCTATTTATATAATTCCATATATATCATGCATCTATATCTGTATCTGTTATTTGTAGACCCACGTTCCCCTTAATCCTCAATAACTTCCTTCTGTTGAACTTTCCTGTTTGGTCTTCGCTTCCATAGCATCGTGGCCTCTGTATTTCAGTGACTTCTCATCGCGGGTCATATTTCAGTATATATATATATATATATATCCAAAAATATATTTTGCCATTTTAAACCACCACGCAATTCCCTTTTTCTTATGTAACGTTGTTGACTTAGCTAAAAAAAACTATTTGAATTCTCTTAAAAATAAGGAGAAAATTCAGCACCACGTTTGGCTTGGTCAACTCTGGTCTTGCCACTTTTGGTAAGTCTTCATTTCTAGAAGGGTTTTGAAAACACATGGTTTAACCAAAAATTCACAACTCTTAAAAGAAATAATGTCTCGTAGTAAGTTCATATAACTCGCCATGTTGCTCTTTTGTATTGGCTTATCAACACGTGTCAGCAACTGATGGGTTAGATGAGTCTTGTATAACATAATTGCATAAGGTTGCATCTACTGCAGTTTTATATCTATGCAATCCTTCCATCCTTTTATTAAAGGACACCACATGGTGGGATTTAATTGGACCATTTATTTCCCGTATGAAATAATGTAGTTCTAATACTCTTAAATGAAATTCTACCAAAGTTGTGATCCAGCGTGTCAAGTCTCGGGCTATCTTAGATGCTTGGAAAACACCCGTTAAACAGTGGATTATTGCTAAAAATTATTAAATATTCAAATTTTATTTTAAAAGAAAAATATATTTATCCGATGATTTTAACAGATTAGTTAGGCAAAAACACGTGACTGTCCAATTATACCTCCCTCAATTTCTCCCTTCTCTCTCTTTCTCTATCTCTTTCTCTCTAACAAACCCATTTTTTCCATATCGGTTGGGTCGGCGAGGATGAAGACGGAATGGACCGGTGAGCAAAGAGGATGATCTGACCGGCGGTAGCGATGGGCCGGCTGTGATGGAGCGATGGTTTCATCTTGTCTTGAGGTTGGCGTAGAAAGGGTTAAAAAAACTCCGATTGACAAGCTCGTTGAATTTGTTTTTTAGCTTGAATTTTGTTCACAGATGCAGTTCACTTGGTTGTCGTGCTGGACTCACCTTTGCCCCATTCGCTGGAAGATCAAATTAGTTGTAGTGGAGGGTCTTTGGCAAAGAGTTTGATTCCAATTAAGGAAATCCATGATGTCCCTTTTCTAATCAATATTCAAAATAAGGCATTTACAACGATTTACTGCAAAACGGCTCATGTGGAATTCAAGGGATTAGAGGTGTCTAAATCAGATCCAAAAAACCATCTCTCACTTTGCTCGCACGGCGATGATGGAGAGATGGCGACGGCGAGCTCGGAAGGTGGAAGGCTCGGCCGTGATGAAGAACGGCGGCCGGCGAGCAAGGAGAACCTCGGCGGTGATATCACCCCTAATATCATGGCTGTGAACTGCGGCTCCGGATTATGGCGACCAAAGAGGATTCGGGCGGCTGTTCACTGTAGTTTGTTTGTTTGTTTTTTTTCAGAACTCCTGCATCAATACTGTACTTAGAAAATTGAAAACCAGAGAAAACGATTTTTTTTTTATTTTATTTTTTCAAACATTGAAGGGTAAAAATAAAAAAAACTGAAAACAAAAATCGGTGGTGATGGATTTGCAGTTCTTCGGATAAGGTTTTGGGTTGATTGTGGTGATGGGTGGTGATGGTTTTGGGATTTGTTTGGTTGGTTGTGGTTTGTATGAGGAAAATTGGCTTGATTGTGGTGTGGTGATGGGAGGTTGTGGGTTGCCCTTGGTGGTGATGAAGGTTTGGGTTTGCTGCAGGATGGGTAAATGGTTTGTAGTTTTGCAGAGACGATGAAATCGACCTCAGTTCCTCAACTGAGGAGGGAAAAAGCAAGACAGGTTTTTTTTGGGTAAGTTGGTTGCCAGGTGGACTGCCATGTGAATTGTGCCAAAGTAATCGGTCAAAATGATTGGTCTCCTATCAAGACCCATTTTAAAAAGGTTGGGAAACTTAGAAACCCTGTCACACAAGGAAACTCAATTTTAGTAGAATTTGAACTATTCCGGGTGTTTATTTTTTATTTTAAAATTTTTTATATTTATGTTGGCTACTATATAATTATTAGATTGTGGAGAAGAAGCGTAACGCCGTGTTTTCAGGCTTATTTTACCGTTTTCAGTTTTTTTTTGACTCTTAAAGATAAAACTATTGTGAGAGTTCTACTATACTAAGGAGGGAAAGAAACCTATCACAAAAGGAAACTCAATTTTAGTAGAATTTGAACTATTCCGGAAACTCAATTTTAGTAGAATTTGAACTATTCCGGGTGTCTATTTTCTAATTTTTATACTTTTGTAACTCTCAAAACAGAAGGAAGCTCAATTTTAGTAGAATTTGAACTATTCCGTATGTTTATTTTTTATTTTATTTTATTTTATTTATTTATGCTGTTCCCCAATTGATTTAATACCAGAGGAGAGATTGTGAATGAACCAAAGAAAGACAAAGAAGGCAGAGGAGAGGCTATGAAGATAGAAAGAAGAGATGAATATTTACCCAAGAATCTTCCTCATGATCTCGTAGTGGACATACTCTCACGCCTACCCGTCAAATCTCTTGTACGGTTCAAGTCCGTATCCAAGTCTTGGCTCACTTTATTCACTGATCCACGCTTTGTGAAGATGCACCTAAACCGATCCCAAAAGCGCATGAAGATTGTTTTTCCAAGTGATTATTCATCGAGACTGGTTGTGTTTTCCACCCACAATATTGATGACCTGACTGAGATGCACGTGGATTCTGTACTTCAGTTCCCAAGTACCACTGCTGAACCATGGGTCACGTTCATTGGTTCTTGTGATGGCTTGCTATTATGTTTAACTTCTGAACCATTGTGTAATTTGTTTGAACCTTCCAAGAAACTCTACCTGTTCAATCTTTCAACTAGAGAATTCAATAGATTGCCAGACTCACTCCTCATTAATAGATTATATATTTCGTTACTTTCGTATGGGTTCGGCTATGATTCGTGCACGGATGATTACAAGATTGTGGAAATCTCACGCCCTTCATATGGTGGAAGTAGTGTGGCCATATATACACTAAAAACAAATGTTTGGAGATGGATTCAAGACATTCCTGACGTTGTTATGCACCGTAAACATGCAACACTTCTAAATGGATCCCTCCATTGGTTAACCAAGTATACGAACAAGATACTTTATCTTAATTTAGCGGACGAGAAATTTCAGTATTTTCTTTTACCTGAGTTTGATTTTCATATAACTGATGCTGCCTTTTTGTCAGTTCTTAGAAAATGCCTTGGGATTTGCGTCCCAATAATCGATATCCCTGCATCAATGGTAATGATGGAATATGGCAAGAGAGAGTCTTGGACTAGTCTTGGCCTTAACTTCCCAACTCGAGACGTGAAGCCTCTGAATTACTCAAACGAGGATGAAATTCTATTTGTTTTGAATGATCATTGGTTAGGCGTATGCAATCCACAGAAAAGCACACAAAGGTATGTACAAATTCCCTCTGACACTCGATTTCGTAGTCTTCAATTGAATTATGCAGAGACTTTTTTAGAGACCATTGTTTCGACCAGTCATCGTAGTTGATTGATTTGGAGGCATGCAGCTGATCCTTAGTTAAGGAATTGTTATGTGAAAGTGGTCGGATTGAATTGAACAGAAAGTTGAATGTTGCAGTGCGTGAAGGCGAGTTTGAGTCTTGAGACCAGTCACTTTCGTTTTTCTTGCTAGATTTTTTTATACAAAAAAAAAATGTGTGTTCTGTTACTGTAACATTTGGTTTGATGAGGCCAGAGACTTAAAATAATTGTTCTCTTTTCAAGTTCATGGTTTACATCTTGTTTTTACAGAACTTCTCAATATTTGTAGGGAAGGACAGATTAAATTAACTGTCTTTCAAATTTGTTCCACAACTATCTACATTAATTTGTTGAGTCTTTATATCAATTTATAACACAAATTAATGATTCCTCTTTTGAATGCATGTGTAGGAGTTTTCGGTAACACAATAAAATAGGTATATACGGAGGTGATATCTTAAACACAAATATGAAAGAGAAGTAATGTAGTTCTGGTGACCGTACTTCTCTTTCTTTTTTTTCTCTACCTCATTCCTTGTGAGAGAGTGCTATTTATAAACCACCAACCATGCTAGGTATTAACCAATGGTTCGCTACATGCCTCGCCCCTACCTATGACCACCTGAGTAGTCATGATAGTCCTAGGGACCTAAGTGGTCAAATCCCTTTATCGAGCCTTACACTATGTTGTTTCTCTCTTGCTTAAGGATAGATTAAATTAACTGTATTTTAAATTTGTTCCACAACTATGTTCATTAATTTGTTAAGTCTTTATATCAATTTATTGATGGGTAGTGTAGAGTTTGATAGGTATTATACATCATTTTTTGAAAGGTATTTTGGTAATTTTTGCACTTGTTATGTTACCCTAGTATTCGTCACCTCTCACTAGACTCTACCCAGTGAGGATCCAAGGGCTGAGATCAAACCACCTCAGCCCTTTTTACCACATTACTGTCTAATCAGCTCCAACTCAGTGCCTAGTCAGCAACTTAGTCAACATAGTCAACAAAGTTACGGACGTACTCTTTTTTTTTACCATATATACTAATACAGCAGCCAAATCGCATCTCTAATTATACAATATACACTTATACATTATATATATACAAATCCTATACAAATCTTATATACAAAAATATATTGGTGTTATTTAGTATCCAAATATACGTAAAACAATATATTATATACAAAAATATTTTATTCCATTTCTTTTCAGTAAAATTACAAATCTCAATACAAAATACTCTTATACATTATATATATACAAACATATATATACAAATCTTAAATACAAAAATATATTGGCACAGTTTAGTATCCAAATATACGTATAATAATATATTATATACAAAAATATTTTATTGCTTTCCTTTTAAATAAAAATATAAAAATATTTTATAACAATATACGTATAACAATATAGTATATACAACATACACTTATACATTATATATATATAAATTTCAGTATCCTTAACAATATATTATATACAAAAATATTTTAGGGCGAATTACAAAAAACCCCCTTCACTATTACTCACTTGCAAAAAACCTCCATTGTGACAAGAAACCCCCCTCAACTATACTGAGGGGGGCATTTTAACTTAACACTGTGTAATGATTTTTTGGTACTCATTTTTTGATATAATTACTCCTCAAAAATACTATTCATCTTCTTCGCATCTTTTAAAAAAAAAAAATTCTTGCAAACCTAACCTCTCTCTCCCTTTGCTGTACACCCAAACAAAGAAAATTAGGATGATGGATCATCCCCACCTACCCAACAAGGAATACTACTGGCGTCAACTTGGAACCCCATAGAACCCACACACACACACACATATACACAAATATAAACACTATTCATCTTCTTTTTTGCATTCTTATGATAAAATAATAATAAATAAATAAATAAATAAATTCTTAATTCTTTCTTAAGCATCATTGGAGCCCAAGTATATCCCGACAAGTATTTTCCTTAATAAAATAAAAGTATAAGGTAGAAACCTAATTAATTTGGAATATAAGACATTATTGCAGCAGAAATGTTCTTGGATTGATTGTTGCAGCATTTCATGCGATTCTTTACTTGTTAATAGTTACTGAACATGTTTTTTGTTTCCAATTTTAAATTATGTGTTACAATAAAGATAAAGAAAGAAATAAAATGGGGAATGTAAAAACTACAATTTTTTCTCATAAAGGTTCTTGTATGGGATGTCATGAAATATCAGTTTGAGCAAGAAGCAAAGGGAGGCCAAATTTTTTTCTAAGCGCACAAGAGGAAGACTTGTTTGGCTTTGTGAAAACCTTCTGTTTTCGAGAAAGAAATGTTCTGTTTGTACACCAACATGCTTGTGGCCTAGCGGTACAAGGCTCCTACTTTCCAAAGGGAGGTCAGGGGTTTGAACCTCAGTGGAGGCACTACGTGTGAGTCACAACTAGGAAAAAAAAAAAAAAAATAGTGTTTGTACTTGTGTGTGTGTGTGTGTGTGTGTGTGTGTGTGTGTGTGTGTGTGAGGTCTATGGGTTCCAAGTTGACACCAACAATATTCCTTGTTGGGTAGATGGGGATGATCCATCATCTTAGTTTTCTTTGTTTGGGTATAACAGTAAAGGGAGAGAGAGGTTAGGTTTATAAGAAATTTATTTTTTAAGATGCGAAAGAAAAAGATGAATAGTATTTTTGAGGAGTAATTTGTTCCAAAAAGTTGTCTTAAAAAATCATTACACGGTGTTAAGTTAAAATACCCTCCCTCAGTATAGTTGAGAGGGGTCTTGCTAAAAGTATTCATAAGGGGAGTTTTTTTGCAAACGAGTAATAGTCAAGGGGGTTTTTTTGCAATTCGCCCAATATTTTATTCCATTCATTTTCAGTAAAATTACAAATCTTAAACATTGATTATGTATCGGTATAATTCAGTATCTAAATATAAATTTATTTGAGATTTTTGGGTTTTGAAATAATTGATTAATTTTATAGATTTTAGGGTTTAGAATTGTGAAATTGAGTTGTGGAAGTTAATTTTTTTAACGTGATAGGAAAATATGTTGATGTTATTTGCAATTCATACATGATACATGTCTAAAAAAGTTGTGATAATAATAATTTGGTTTCTCCAACTTTTGTATTGCATACTGTTACAAAAAGTAAGTGATGGAATATGTAAAACTTCCAACATATATGTTGAAAGTATTTGTGGCTCTTATTATTAATTTAGGAATTGTGAAATTGAGTTATAAAAGTTATTTTATTTATTTATTTATTTATTTTAACGTGTTAGGAAAATATGTTGATGCTATATGCAATTCACACATAATACATGTTTAAAGAAGTTATGATAATAATAATTTGATCTCTCCAACTTTTGTATTGTATACTGTTACAAAAAGTAAGTGATGGAATATGCAAATCTTCCTACATATATGTGGAAAATATTTGTGATTCTTATTATTAATATAGGAATTGTGAAATTGAGTTGTGGAAGTTTTAGCGTATTAAGAAAATATGTTGATGTTATATGCAATTCATACATGATACATGTTTTAAAAAGTTGAGATAATAATAATTTGATGTGGAAGTTAAATTTTTTTAACATGTTAGGAAAATATGTTGATGTTATATGCAATTCAAACATACATGCTAAAATAAAGGTTGTGATAATAATAATTTGATCTCTCCAACTTTTGTATGGTATGTTGTTACAAAAAGTAGGTGATGAAATATGCAAATCTTCATACATATATATTGAATATATTGGTGATTCTTATTATTAATTTAGGAATTGTGAAATTGAGTTGTGGAAGTAAATTTTCTTAATGTGTTAGGAAAATATGTTGATGCAATATGCAATTCATACATGATACATGTTTAAATAAGTTGTGAGCATAATAAATTCATCGGTATGCTGTTACAAAAACTAGGTGATGAACCCGGATTGCCACCATATAAGATAAACTTTGATACAATAATCACCACTGGATTGCCACCATATAAGATAAACTTTGATACATTATTATGAATAAAGGTACAAGAAATTCAAAATAATAACCTAATACTTATAATGATCAGAGCTTCAACTTCTCGCTGGATTATAGGAAATATTTTGGGGGAATTTCTCATTTTCGAAAATTTTAGATTATTGCCAGAATATATGGTGATTTTTTCGACTTGATCTCCTTTTGTTTGCTATGCCTCTTTGACCTTCACCAAGAGAGTTTTTTACACATAAACATAAATAACAAAGTTTTGGGGAGAGTTTCTTCACCGGATTTCAATTTTCAGAACGGGATTTCCTATTTGATATTTCAGACATAGTATATATAGTATAGTTTTGGAGGAAGGTCAACTTTCCTTTTGGGAAGAAATTGAAAACTGAAACTCAATCAAAATGATGTTTTGGGGGAAGGTCAACTTTCCTTTCAGACATAGTATATATAGTATAGTTTTGGGGGAATGTTTCCCATATTCATTTCAATTGTAAAGCTAAATTCAATCAAAATGATGTTGGAAACTGATCCGAAGTTGAACAAATTAAACGTCTGTCAAAAACCTGTATAAATAATGTTTTATGTTCCGAGTTTGGCAAATATCTTTGCAATGCTCTTATAGGAAAATGTCGAGTTCTAGAAATCGGAATAGTGAGGAAAAAATAAAAAAAAAGCCATTATTAAATTTAAGGGTTAATTTTGTAAAACTGGCAGGAAATGCCATTAGCTGCCAATATTTACTGCTTATGAGTTTTGGCAGTAGATGAAACCAAATAATTTGTAGTGCAGCTTAAATACAGAAATATGCCCCTCTAGCTTTATACATTTTTCTCTTTTTTATTTTTTCCTTTTTATTTTTATTTTTTTTAAACACATCACAGATGCAGGATGCAGCTTATCTAGCTATAAAAAAGAGAGAAATTATAACTTTAGCTGGCTTATTGAGATCTCCAAAACTTTGCTCTTTGGAAACCATTGTTGCAGCAACAATAGTCTTCAATGGCCTGAACAATTC